TGTTTTGTTTTTTTTTATAAAATGGAGTACTACTCAGCCATAAAGAACGAGAAACTAGAGTCATTTATAGCTAAATGGATGCACATTGAGGCCATATTCTTAAGTGAAATAAATAGGATCCACATGTGTAAATACCGAACAGATCCTGTGGTGTGAAAAACTGAAAATGTAAATAAGGATTAAAATGATTAAAATGAATAACTGATAATTTGAAATAGGAAGTAAAGGTCCAAAGAGGTAGGTGAAATGGGAGGGGAAGGGGAAAGGAAAGAAGCGAAAGGAAAAAGTATAACAAAAGGAAAAAATGGAAACCGTCTTTGTAAATAGGGAAGGGTGGAGGGGGTTAAGGGAGGACAGGGAATGGGGAAACAATAAGAACCAAGATGCATCATGTACAGGTACAAGTGCCCAGTGATAAATGTAAACATATTGTGTACCTAAAATGTACCAATAAAAGAATTTAAGCAAAGAAAAAAAAGTCAGTTTTAATGTGACGTGCCTGGATTCCATTTTTTAGAACTATGCAGGCCAAGAAAATAGTTCTCCAAGATAGATCTAGTCACGGCTGAGGCTTTGGGATCTGGAGACTGTTGGGGAGGTTGTGGCATTGCAGGGTGGGCTGCCCAGAACCCTGTGTGCCTTGGCAGAGGTTGCCTCTCCTGGGCTGCTGCCTGTCTTGGGGTCCTTGTCCTCATTTTGCCAGTGGACATCAGTGTGTGGAGTGGGAGAATAATAGGTTACACTGTAAATGACACCAGGTAGGAGTGTGACTAGACTAGAACTGTACAGTGTGTGCTGAGCCAAGGGCCTCTGCCCATAAATTTTAAGTTTTATGATAACCCCAAGGAGATCTGGCTATCCCCAATTTGTAGATGTTGAGTCTTTATAAGAATTGGGGATTTGTCCTCCCTCCCTCCCTCCCTCCCTTCCTTCCTTCCCTCCTCTTTCTTTTCTTTCCTCCCTCTCCGTTCCTTCCTTCATTTCTCAGTATTAGAGCAAGGTTTTATTTCTAAAATTAAAGCCTACTTCTTTTGCTGTATGAAGCATGCATATGTATGGGATTTTAGAAACGAGTTAAATATGCTTTTTTATTTTCCACTAGAGATTTCTAGTGGGATTGTTGAATTTGAAGAATGTTTCCTTGTTTGATTGCTTTGGTTTTAGTCCATTGTGTTTTATGTTAGGTATTAGTATTACAAAGATGAGTAATATAAAATTTCTATGCTTGAGAAACCCAAAATGATTGTTTACTTCTGTTTGTTCTAAATATGAAGGGATGGGTAAATGTTGGGATAAAAGTGGTAATAATCAAGAAATTTGGTGGCTAAATTGTGATTCCAGAAAACAAATATATAGGAAGCACTCATTTTTCTCTTGTTTCAACAAACAAAATATACTGTTAGAAAAATTAGAAAATAAAAATAAGCAAAAGTTAGGGAACAATCTTCTAACCAATGTGAGCAACTCTATTTACTCACTACTTATATAAGAGGTTTTTTACACTTCACACATATACAGGTACACATACAGACAGATCACACTAACTTACTATCCAATAGTCTGTTTTCTTAGTTAGAAACATAGAAATGCCCCTTTAATGCCTGAGCATCATTTTTATAGCTGAATGGCAGTTTTGGAACCCTACCTTCCCTCTGAATAGCATTTTATTGCACACAGATAACCCATACATATTTAATCAAACCCCTACTGTTAGATATTCAGATAATTTCTAATTTTTTAAAACTTATGCCATATAGAGAGATATTGTAGCTAAATCTCTTTGAAGATCCTGATTTATTTCCTTGGGGAAACTTACTGGCAATGTAGTTACTAGACTTAAGGAGGTGTACATTTTGAGTTATTTTTGTTTTTCTGTTTTGTGTAGTGCTAGCTTGTCCTCCAGAAAAACAACACACCATTACCCTCTCCATTGGCTTTGAGTCCGATTGTCACCACTGTTTCTAGCACTAGGAACCATGTCTCCCTTATAAATCTTGTCCAATTTGACAGATAGAATACCATCTCTATCAAGACCCTTTGCGAAAATGCTGGAGAAGTTTGAATTGGTAGCCACTGCTCTTTCTTTTTGCCGTACTTTCACTTTGGGTTAGGGCTGATTGTTGGCCGATACTATCTTGGTGGCTGCAGAGGAACTGAGAGTTTTACCTGTGTTCTCCTGGGTGTCGATGGATGCTTGGTGACTCAGAGAAGCAGTGTTGTTAAGAAATCACGGGCCTGGTGTATTTTTTCCAGCATGGCCAATGAGAGGTTATGTTCTTGTCAGCTGCATAACAGTGATTTTTCTGAGGTCTGATGATTTCCCAGTACTGTGTTTAGGCTCTGCATATTTAACCCACACTCAACATATTGAACTCTGACAAAAAAGGTCTCCTGCTCAGCACCAGCTAATTCTAAGCCATCTCTCTTTTCCTCTCTGCCTTTCGTCTACCCTCTCCTCCTCTCCTTTCCATCGTAGACATATGCCATATTTACTAATCAGAGCAAACAGCATAGCAAACTTCCACACAGCAATATCCAGCTTCAGCCATTGCTGACAGGCAGCCTCGTCCCCTGCACGCCTGTCCCTCCTGACCTTGCAGGCTCATTCCCTTGTTGGATTATTTTAAAGCAGACTCAGATATGTTATTTTCTTAGTAACTATTTAAATACAGGTCTCTAAGTGACTTGGACTCTGTCAATGTAAACTACAATATCAATTATACTTCAAAATATTTATAACAGTTCTTTATTATCATCTAGTGCCCAGTGAGTGTCACATTTCCCTGATGATCTCATAAGTCACTTTTTCACACTGGGTTTGTGTGGATTTGGTTTATTGTATTCTGAGCCATTCTAAGCACACAGAGGATTCCTTTTCCCCTGGAAGTTGGGGAGACTATCCATATCTCTTGAATCAGACTCTTAGCTGAGGGAACCTCACTTTGAAACTCCCCATGGGCTGAGTATCTATTCCCATCTCCTCAGAAGGAAGGATATTCTACAGCTAACACTCAAGAAGCCTGGGTCAGTGTGGGATGGAGAAGCTGCGTTGCACTGTGGGCTCACTGTCCATTGTCTGGGTATCCATCCAGCCTCTCCACCCCTCTGCTTTTGAGATGAGGCCCCATTACACACTGTGGCTGGGCCTCCTGCCTTAGGATGCAGGTGATGCTGGCTTGCAAACTCTTGTCTCTGGCACTGGTCTGAGCGCCTGTAATGTGCCTTGGAAAAGGAAAATGCAGGTGCCCTGTTTTCTTGCGTGGATATTGACTTTGAGAAGGTATTTCACATTAAGTAAAAGTTCAAGTTCTCATGTTTGTTTTTGGTTCTTTTTTGAACTTGAAGGTCTCATGCTCCTCCACTGTGTGCTGGCAGATGAGAATTCAACCAGAAGTCCCGCGACTCACGGTCCTCTCTGCAGAGATCCTGTGGAAAACTGTACAGGTAACGCTTAAGCTTCACATGCAGTCTGGAAAGTTGATTTCCTCGAGTTTGAATCTTTTGATGATAGTAATAATAGTACTAGGTGTTTCTCTGAGCACACACTAATGTACTAAGTACTGTGCTAAGTGCTTTAGGTGGGCTAATTTACTCATGTATCATAGCAGCCCTATGAGTAAGATAATTTTTTAAAAAATATTTTATTTCAAGGAAAATATTAGAAACTTTAAATAACTCGCTCAAGGCCACAGCCAGTAAATAGCAAATCTGAGATTTGAATGCAGTCTCTGATTCTTAACCACAATACTGGGGTGCTATAGATGTATGCTGCAGAATCTAGCTGGGGTATCCTGAGCTGCAGTTTTAGAAAGTTGGTGAGTTCTATTCAAATTTAGATTCTTCCTCTCTCTTTTACAATTCTGTACCTTAATAAAGGGAGGAAGGCAAGGGTTTTTATATATTTTGCCTTGGAGGTGCTTGCATTAGTGTTCGCAGAGTTCTTAGTCTAAGTCCAAGCTGGCCCGGACTGGAGTTGGATGGTAAGTGTTTTAGGCTTTGTCCCAACCCTCAGTCTTGCCATTGACTGTGAAGCAGTCATCCAGCTATGCACATGAGGAGGTGTGGCTGTGTTGCATGGATGCTGAAACAGGCTGTCAGCCAGGTCTGGCTGTGAGACCACAGTTAGTTGACCCTGGTCTGAGGTGCTGTTGTTCTGTGTACATTATGTGATCTGATCTTCTACAAGGGTTGTTTCTGATTTTCGAAGAAAGCACAGGCCAATTCAAAAAGTCAGGTGGAGTGGAGAAACCTCCTGTATTCCCTGGAGTCCTCTCTGAGCCGGGAGAACGGTGATTTGGTATGACACACTCCTTCTTTGCCACCCTGGGGACGCTGCCGCTGAGCCAGGAACATGCTGGGCAAGTCTCCCCGCTATGAGTCATCAGTTCCGGCCTCTCCTGCTCATCCTCACAGCTCTGGGTGGGAAGCAGGGTGTGTGGGCTGGGGAATCCACTGGCATCTTAGGTCACCTGTGCAGGCCTGGCCTGTCACCATGGAAGGAGGACACGGCCACCTGTGTGTGATTGTGTGTTTCTGTGGACTGGTTTCAGCAGTCTTAAATGATGGCATTTCTCAAGAAATGATTCCATGATCTGATAATGGACAATGTTCAAAAGTCTTCCTCATAATCCTCTTAAATAAGTTGTCTAATTTTGCTTTTACTGTAATGATAACATCTAACATGAAATTTCCCTTTTTAAACAAATTTTAAGCTGGACATATAGTTTTGTTTAGGCATGATGCTATTAGCACATCTTTGGAATTTATCCATTTGCATAACTGAATAAAACTCCTGTTTCTTCCTTCTTCAAGACCCTGGCAACCACCATACAACTCTCTGCTTCTGTGAATTTTGCTGTTTTAGATACTTCATGTGAATGGAATCATCTGATATCTGTCCTTCAGTGCCTGGTTTATTTCACTTAATACCCTCAACTTATTCATTCAAGATGTGACATATTGGATGGTTTTCTTGTTTTAAACAGATGAATATGATTTCATTTTATATATATCTCATATTTTCTTTATCCACTCATCTATCAATGGACATTTGGGTTATATCCACCTTTGACTCCTGTGGATAATGCTGCAATGACCAATGATAGTGCAGACATCTCTCTGGGTTGTTGATTTCATTTTTTTTTTAATACACAGCAGTGAGATTGCTGTCATAGGAATATGGTAGTTGGGTTTCAAATTCTGTTAAGGAACTTTCATACTGTTTTCCATATCAGCTGTGCTGTTTTACACTGCCACCATCAATTTACAACTGCTCCAACTACTCCAATTTCTCTCTCTCTCTCTCTTTCTTTCTCTTTCTCTCTCTCTCCCTCCCTCCCTCCAACTCTCACAGGTAGGAAGTGATCTCTAACTGTGGTTTTAATTTTCATTCCCTTGATGATATATGGCATTGAGCATCTTTTTATATCCATGTTGGCCATTTGTAAGTCTGGTTTGGAGAAATACTGTGTAAAGCTAGCTGTTGATTTGAAGTCTTCATTTTCAAAGTAGGCATTTGTCACTACAAACATTCCTCTAAGTACTCTTTGTGCTGCATCTTATAAGTTTTTATATGATATATCTTTGTTTCAAGATATTTTCTAATTTCATTTTTAATTTTACTTGTGGCCAGTTGGTTGTTGGATTTTGTCACTTTCCTGTGGCTGGGACTAAATACCCAATACCAACAACTTAAAGGAGGAGAGGGTTATTGTGTCTCACAATTTTAGAGAGTTTAGTCTATGGTTGGCTGGCTCCAAGCCAGAAACACCATGGTGGAAAGACATGGTAAAGTGTGGAAGTGGTGTGAACTCTTTATTCACCCACAGTCTGCTCTGGTAGCCCTGTCTCACTGTGTGCACTGCTGTCCTTGTCTTGACATCACATGCTGTACAGACACCACCATTAAAGCATTTTCATAGCGAAAACAAAAAAAAAGAGAAAAGCTGCTCAACCCATGGCAGCAGCCAGGAAGGAGGGAGGGAGGGAGAGAGAGAGAGATGAGAGAAAGAGAGAGAGAGAGAGAGAGAGAGAGAGAGAGAGAGAGAGAGAGGAGACAGAATGAATACATGACAGAATGAATACATCCTCTACATCATGCCTGCAATGAGTCCCCTCTTCAGACCAGGCCTCACCTTCTAACCACACATTCAACTATGAACTCATCACTGGATTAATCCACTGATGAGTACAGACCCTCCCAATGCACTCACCTTCTAAACATCCCACCTCTGAACATAGGACACTTTTGGGGGACATTTTAGGTATAAACCATAACAGTTGTACAGGATTACAGTGTTTGATTTCCACATATTTGTGACTATTCCAGCTTTCTTTCTGCTGTTATTAATATTTGGTTTCATTTCATGTGATTAGAAGAGACACTTGGTATGATTTCAGTCTTCATAAATTTGTTAATACCCTTTTGGCATGTGATCTATCCTGAGGAATACTGTGCGTGCCCTTGAGAAGGTATGTATTCTTCTGCCTTCAGGTAATGAGTTCTGTCTGTGTGTTTTAGGTCTGTGTGGTCTGTAATCTTGTTGGAGTCCACAGTTACCTTACTGGTGTTCTGTCTGGGTGTTCTCTCCGTTACTGAACATGAGATGTTGAAGGCTTCTGATATTAGTGTTGCTGTCAGCAGGACAGCTTTCTACAGGTCTTGGACCAACCCAGATCTCTCCCCTTTCTCATTCATCTCTCTCAAGGAGAACTGTAGAATGTGCTTTTTTCAACATAGGAGGAACTGGCCAGAGTAGCCTAGGTCTTTTCTTGTCCCTCCTAAAACAAGATGCTCCACAGTGCATTAGACCGGTGAGTCTCACTGGCCCATGGGCACCTGGTTTCCAGGGCCCTTACCTGCAGTGTCATGGGAGACACTGGGTAGAATCCATCTCCCTGTGCAGTGTTCCTGGGCCTTGACAGACTCATTCTCCGCCGATGTAAGGTATTGTCTCTTGTTGCCTGTCTGTAAGTAGTGACTTTTTTTTTGCATAACTTGTCATGTGAGTGCCCTGTTCACTGGACTTGTGTGTGTTCACGACTGGCCTGTGGTTGGTGATCACTATTTCTCCTTTCAATTCTATCAGTATTCACTTTGTATATTTAGATGTTTTGATGTTGAGTGCATATATATATTCATAATATATAATATATATGTATATATATATATTCATAATCATTACATCATCCTGGTGAGCTGCAAATTTTATCTTTCACATGTCCATCTTTGTCATTAGTCTTTCGTGACAGATACTGAATCAAAGCTTATTTTCTCTAATACATATATGGCTGACCCTGATCTCTGAATGGAAGCTTGTCCATCCTTCACTTTCAGTCTATATATGTCCTTAAATCTAAAGTGAATCTCTTATGCAAGAGATTGTTTTTTTGTATCCATTCATGAACTCTATATTTTAAGATTGGGGAATGTAACCCATTTACATTTAAAGTAAATTATTGACAGGGAATTCATTAGTGATAGGATTAATGATATTGTAAGTTTGTTGTTATCTGTGTGTCTTGTAGTTCTTTTGTCCTTCCTTTCCTTTTTATTATTTTCTTCTAGGTTTTGTGGCTTTTTTTGTACTTATATGCTTTGAATGTCTTCTCTCTTTTATGTGTTTTACTGTAATTATTTTATTTGTGGTCACTGTGGGGCTTATGTAAAATATAATTAGGGTAGACTAAAGATGGTAAAAACTTCAATCACGTATAAAAACTCTACACTTGTACATTTCTCCACTCCATAGTTTGTGATTAACGTCACAATGTACATTATTTTCATAATGTGTATCTATTAATGAATTTTATATTTGCAATTACCTTTGTACTTTTGTCTTTTAACTTGTATAGTAGAATTAAAAGTGACATAACCATCACTAGTGTAGTAATACAATATAATTTGTCTATATATTTACATTTACCAAAAAAATGTATGCTTTCTTATGATGTGACTGGTTAGCATTCTTCAATTTCAACTTCAAGAACTTCCTTCCTTTAACATTTCTCGTAAGGTGGGTTTGGTGGATTTTGTTTGTGAATGTCTTTATCTTTCTTTCATTATTTATGGGCAGTTTTGCTAGGTATAGTACTCTTCATTGACATTATTTCTTTCAATGATTTGAATATATCATCCTACTTATTTATGGTCTGCAAGATTTCTATTAAGATTTTATGATAGTCTAGCAAAGATTCTTTTTACATGAAAAGTCTTGCTGGTCTCAAAACTTTCTCTTCATTTTGGTTGTTTTTTTGAAAATTTGACTATAACTTATTTTGATGTGGATTCCTTGGGTTCAACTTATTTGGGATATTTTTGGCCTCCTGGGTCTGGACACATAGTTATTTCCCTAACTTTGGAAAGTTTTTGGCCTCTGTTTCTTTGAATATGCTTTCTGCCTTCTTCTCTGTCTTGTTTCCCTCTTACCTTTATAGAGCATATA